GGAACGCGATCACGGGCTGGGTCGTCACCGCCTTCATGAGCGCGACCGGGTTGAACGCCGGCACCAGCTCCCATCCGGTGATCTGCGCACGGCGGAACGGGCGCGCGCGAGGGAATGGGGGGGGGAAGGGGGAAAAGAAAGGGGGAGAGAGACTTGACGCGAGGATACGAGTTGAGCTGAAGGACAGGTGGAGAGGGAAGGTTCGAGTGAATTAGAGGATGACATCACTGATGCGCGGGCATCTTCGAGTCAACGGCGGATTTTGAGACTCCGAGTCGGTACGGACCTTAGTGAGCGGCGCCATTTCCGTGGCGTTGAAGTAGCAGGTGGAGGAGTCGGCAGCAACGTAGGGGTAGTTGCCGAGCTGCGTGACGCCATTGTTGGAGAGCACGTACGAGAAGGCCCAGTCGGGCCACCCTCCCTGGCAGCACTGCTTCGTCGCGCAGTCGCACACCTGTTGCGGCGACAGCGGCGTCGCAGGCGTGCCCGTCGCAATCGCCCACATCATGGCGATGGAATCGACGGCTGTGATGGCCCAGCAGCTCGCGCACTGCAGGAAGGATGTGCAGGCACGGTATGAATCAAACAGTTGGCCGAGTGTTAGCCAAAAAAAAAAAAAAAAAAAAAAAAAAAAAAAAAAAAAAAACGCTTGCGATGCTGAACAGGAACCGGAAGCTAGGATTTTCCAGCTTTGGACGAATCCGCGATGCCGAGGCGGCGCGAGCCCGACTTCTCAGAATGCGTGGTGGGAAGGCTGACCTGGAACTGGCGCTGAATAGGGGTGATCATCATGGTGGTACGCCAATCCACGTAGCTCAGCGCGCGCACGCTCTCCCACCGGAAGAACGACATGTTCACGGCCGCCATGCTCGGCCCCGACCGCAGCCGCGGCGCGCGCAGCCCGAACCAGTTTCCGTCGGCGGCGGACAGGCGTCGGCGCGCCGCCACTTCCTCCTCGTCGTTCTCGTCAATGTCCACGCCTTTGAGAAGGCGCGACATGTGCAGATTGTTCCTGACGGATTCCGGCAGTTGTTGGGTTCTTTGGACGGCCATTTCGAACTGCGTGAGGGACGGCTGCTGGGGAGAGTCTTCTCGTGGGTCGAGGCGCGCGCTGCGAGCTTGTTGCCATGGTTGCGGGAGGACTACTAGTAGGAGGCTGATTAGGACCACTGAGATGCGACAGCGATGCGGAATACTCATGGTTGCCCAATGTGATTTGCGGAGATTTGCGAAAAAGCTTGAAGACGACTAGAAGTTGGAACTTGCTACGTGGAGGCGTCTAGTGACTCTGATTGGAGAGGATGAAGATGGACATTCAAAGCTTGTACTCTTGCGAACAGTCTGAAGGCAATCTCTCGTAGGCTGTGGAAGGAATCACGGAGATCGCGACGCCACAGAGGAACTGGTAGCAAAAGGAGTAGTGTGATGGTTGTGTAACTGGGCTGATAGGCGCGATGACAATCACGAATTGAAGCTGGAGCTTGTTCGCATGCGTTTGCTTTCTCTGAGGAATGCGCTGTCTTTTAGCCTGGTCGGTGGTGGGTTGTCGGGTGGGTGGGGGGTGTGAGTGAGGGGGAGGAGGTAGGTGAGGTAGGAAAGGGGCCAGAAGGGCGCCGCCACGCCAGGGTTATTTTGGCTTGTGTGGTTGACATGAGGTTGGTGGGTGTTTCCCACACCTCACTGGTGCGCGACGGTTTCTTTCCGACATCCGACAAAACAAGAAGTGAATGTGGAAGTAACTGGCATTGTCGTCATGTTTTGTTCCCGTCTGCTGCGCTTCGCTTGTTTGCTTTGTTCGCTTGGGTTGGTTGGAGGAAGGAAGCGATGTGATGGGGTGGGATGGGATCATGGGAGAGGTGGGGTGGAAATGGATGTGGGAGTGGAGAGAGGGGGGTGCTCGTTGGGAATGCTGTTGTGACGGGCCGTACGTACACCGAGTTTCCTGAAAGCAGGTGGGCCATAAGGCGACTTGTGCTGTGTATTCGGGCAGGGGCTTTTGTAAATAGACGAAGCATGGATCGCTGGCTTTCATGCCAGGTGTTTAGTTAAACTCTACCTGAGTTAATAGGGGCCTTGCTAACGGGCAGTGAGAGCTTTGGAGCTCTTCGTATACTGACGGTGGGGTGGGGTGGCCTTAAAGTCTCTTAAGTTGGGTGGATGTTCAAGCCCAAACATCAAACGAGGCCGTCACCTTTATTAATCCACAAATATGTTCTCGGAGGAATCGATAAGGGAACTTCTGTGAGCGTACAGCGGAAACGGATCACAGAGCAAGTGGGGTTTTGACACTCAGGGTATATGTTGTGAATGGCCACGATTGCACCATCTAAAAAACAAATGACCGTTGCACCACCTAAAAATAAAAATTTAAGTCACTAAAACCTTCGTATTCTCAGCACTGATCGGAACTACGCGTCGCGTCACTGGTCTTCGTTTCGAGCAAGTTCGTACACCCTGTTTCGCGCCACACTGACATTCGCCATATTGTCAAGCCGGTTGTACTGACATCAATGCGTCCAAATTGGTCCCAGAACATACCGTATAAGCACTTTTGCCGCACGAAACCGAACTCAAAAACACGTTTGTTTTATAAACCGTTGTCTACCGTTCTCCTGAAGTGCATTTCGGTTGCAAGCACCAGCCCGCTGAATCCAAGCACACGTGCGCACTGTAGCCGGGGCTCCGATTGTTCACACATCGAAAAACAGGGTGTACAGATCACATGTGTGGTGTGATGTGTGGGTCGTTTGTTCTTCTGTCTATGGTGTCTGTTCATTGTCGGGTACAGTAGGTAGGTTGGTTTTGTTTCTCCCGAGACGCCAGCAGTGTTCGCCCCTTCTCCCCTCGTACGCGACACAACACAAGCCACACCCGTTGTCATGAGCACATGGACGAGCACGAGCAGCACTGTAGTTGCCGTTTGGTTTGTTGCAGCAGCAACTGCAGCAGTGCAGCAGCAGCAACCGCGGTTGAGCAGGACGATGAGAACAAGGGACGCAATGCGAGGTGAAGGGCTGGACATGTAACGACAGCAGCTGCGAGTCAACTTTCACATTTTCAAAGAGGACTTTTGAGGGTGTTTTGAAGTTGACTCACGCACGAGGCCCGAGCCTCAACGGATGGATTAGTTATGCTCACCACATTGCTCACGGATGGATGTCGCAAAACCCTCACCATATTGCTCGAATACGCTTTATTAGTTATGCTGAGCCAATAAGTGTGGGAAAAAATGCTGGCCCAGTTTGCCAAAATGGGCTCGGAAAGTCAGAGCGTCTACCCCCTTATGAATTTTAGTCATTAGGACGTGGTGCAGATCGGGGCGATCTGAGGCTTATTGCCTCGAGCCCGCAATCCGCAATTTCCGAAAAGGTCCAGGGAGTACTTTTGGGCAATCGGGGGCAATCTGTCGATCGCATTTGAGATCGCATTGCGAAGGATTGCCTCGATCTGATGCAATCGATTGCAACCGATCGCGATCGATAGGTTGGGCGAATGGTGAATGTGAGTGATTTGTAACCACTGTCGCTAAAACTCGCTTTTGCACGCTGCTACAAAACATCTCGCGACAGTCGAACTTTCCAGGCTGAATCTCTGGACCAATCAACACAGCCCCAATGAAAATGAATGTGACACGCGTAATGGGGCAACACTGTAATTTCGGCATACCGATGTACTCGCTTGGTTTCGCCAAACTTGAGCTGGAAAGTACATACTACTAGCCTGGAAGGCACGGTTGATGTTCTGTCTTGTTTTAACGAAAATCATGGGTCAGATCGTGCGGCGCGGAAAGCGATCGATGGTTGCGTCAGATCGGGGCGATCACACCCAATCGCTCGCTATCTGATCCAATCGACCACCGATTACGTGAGATCGAGGCGATGTGCACCACGTCCTTACGGGCTTCGGTTACTGAAATCCACGATACGGTTCTGGGGAGGGATCGACGAGAGTTTCTTTTGTACTGTACAGCCTGTAACGGCTTGCCACGTCTTCTCTGGGAATTCCTTTCGGGTCTTCTCTGAAACACATCCGCACCCTAAACCAGAGTTTCGACCAGCCCCTTTTCTAACCTTGGCTGGGAAGTTTGCCAGGTCGGGTAGTAGCTCTAATAGATGGACCTTTCAACTGGGACCGACGCAAAAACCAATGTGACATAACCGCCAAAGTATTTCAAGTTTTAGATTTGAAGTCCAGCCCCAGCGTGTGAGGGTGGTCCGGAGAGGTGAGCCCAGTTCACAGGTGGGATATCAAGGACCACCCAAAACACATCGCCGGGTCTGGTGACAGGTTTGAGGCCATGGCATCATACGTGTGGATAGGAGACATGATTCACCACATGCCAAACCGAGTCGCAGATTCAGGGAGTCCGTACAAGACATTAGTGCCGTTTCTATTTTGCTGTTGGTTTGTTGACAGAGCATGTGCAACTGAATACCCTTATACAGTTCGACGAATGCCAGTAGCGTACTTGCCTCTTCATAAAATATAGTTACAGCAACCATAGCTCCATCTCCTAACTGATGGCATTTATAGCAAAAATTGTGCGAACCTAAATGGCCAACAACGGAAGGCGACTTGAAGAAATGGTTGTAAGCGAAACAAGTGGGTGCTCGTAGCAACCTAACTAGATAACTAGCTACAAAACATCATCTAATGTTACAACCCAAAAGCAGGATAAATCCATCATCCCAACCTTATCGTAATGCCCAGCATAAACCTCCAGTAGGCATCAATTGGCAGCAGATGCTGGTGGTGACAGTGGTAGTGAAAGCAGCTGTAACTAGTGAAACTAGCGATGGTGAGTGTGGAAGATTGTGGTGGTGATGGTAATGATGGCGAGGATGATGGCGGTGCTAGTAATTATGTTGATGCTGATGATGGTGGTGTTACCAAGAAGCAGACATTCTGCACAGAACTATCAACAAGAACAGCAGCAGCAGCAGGAGTGAGGGCTTCCCCAGCAGTGAGCAAAGCTGGAGGGACAGAGGATGGTTGTTGAGTCACTGGAGCCGGGAAGGGGAGCAGCACAAACAAAGAGAAACGAAGACAAGCCCAGTGAGTCAAATGAACGGAGGGAGCGAGGATAACAAAAAGAGATGAGGACGGGAGGCAGGGTGTAACCGGGGTTCAGGGTTCAACGGAAAAAAACACATATTAATCAAATAAAGCATGGGGCTGAGAAGGAAGCCGGAGGTGAGTGGTCACTCACACGAATGGAAGCACAATCAGGCCACGCAGACACACGCAGGAGCGCTACGTTGAGGAGGAGCGACGCGCGGCATATATCCGAAAGCCCACCACCAACACCACTGCCACTGCTGTGCCCACTGCAGAGAAGAAGGTGAGTGTGGGTGAAGTTGGGGAAGGCGTGACATGAAGTTCAAAATCGGGTAGCGCATGATTTTGAAGGACTGAACAGAACAGGGGCCGTGACAGGCTCGTGGGGAGACTCTTCACTGCACTGAACCAACGAACAGATTCACACGAGCACAAGATGTGAAAAGACAAGTCCCGACCAGAAAGCATACTCTAGCAACACGGACAGCGTCCTAGCCCCTTCCAGCCCCTCCAATCCAAGCCCCTCCAAGCCCCTCCAACCCCCTTCAAGCCCCCCCAGGACCCACCAAACCCCTCCCAAACCCCAAACCACTCACAAACCCCTCCCACGCCCCTCACGTACCCCTCCCACGTCCCTCCCATGCCCCACCCACGCCCCTCCCATGCCCCACCCACGCCCCTCCCACGCCCCTCCCATGCTCCACCCACGTCCCTCCCATGCCCCACCCACGTCCCTCCCATGCCCCACCCACGCCCCTCCCATGCCCCACCCACCCCCCTCCCATGCCCCACCCACGCCCCTCCCATGCCCCACCCACCCCCCTCCCATGCCCCACCCACGCCCCTCCCATGCCCCACCCACCCCCCTCCCAACCCCACTCACCGAGAGCGACGGAGACGGAGCGGTAGAGCAGGCGCTTGCGCAGGGCTTTGGAGGAGCGGGAGGCGGAGGTTTCCGGGATGCCCACGTGCGGCTTCCTGGCAGCGTCGGTGAGGCGCGTCCACAGCTCGTTGACATCGTGCAGCAGCGAGGAGACGGGCACTGGTGCTGCCACCCCCATCTCCGTGCACAGCTGGAGGGGAAGGCCAGGGGGATTGCAGGAGGGATTGGGGAGATTTGGGGGAAGGGGGGGGGGGGGGGGAATGTGGCGGGAGTCAGGGGGGGTGGTGAGGATTTGGGGGAAACTGGAGGGGGTTCCAGGACATTGGGAAAGATAGGGGGTGGTTAGGGGGGGGATATGGGCATCTGCACTAGAGCTGCTCAAATTATCACCCAGAGAACAGAAACACACATAATCACGCAGAGACACCCATCGGGCACCAGCACAGCAGCACAGCAGCACAGCAGCACCAGCGCAGCAGCACAGCAGCACAGCAGCACCAGCACAGCAGCACTCCAGCGCAGTACCTGTGCGGACTGGGTGAAGATGGCGGGGTGGGGCTCGAGGTCGTTCTTAGCGGCCACGAGCACGGCGGGCATCTCGCTCTCCGTGGCCTCTGCCCGCCCCGCCACCTCCTGCAGCATGCCCACCGCCTTCTCCCAGCTGCCCTGCGACGAGCTGCGTGCTCAGGAGGGAGAAAGGGGAGGCACGGGCGGCACGGGGAAGCACGGACAAGTACAGAGGCAGTATGAGGCGAGGCGAGGCAGTTAGGGTTTCCCCCACACGTCAATAACAAGTGGCGGGAGGCTGTAAGAGGCTGTGGAGGAGGTGGAGGAGCAGAGGAGGAGAGCGGGTGGAGGAAGGTGAGATGAGGTGATGAGACACATGAGGTTGAAGGAGATGCACATATGAGGTTATACAGCCTCTCTTCTCACCAGAAGGGCACACTGGATTGGCTGAAAAGGATTCTAATCAGTTTCCAGTTTCAAGAATTCGCTGAAAGCACAACAGCCTCAGATATTTGCCAGCATGCACATGCACATGCACTTTGCAAGCTGCTTGCATAACCTATGCATGCACACCCCTTGTGCACATGTGTGCAGAGTGCTGCGTGTGTAGCCCCCGCCCTCTTTCAAACAGTCCAAGCGGACCAGAATTACACAAGGGAATCGGGGAGTAGATAGATAGAAGCAGAGGAGACAAAAGCCACAGAGCGCAAAGCCAGGCAGAAAGCCACCACCACCATCTTCATTCCCCCTCCCCCAGCAGCACCTCCCCTCTCCCCCCTCACTGACCTTCCCTTCTCTCCAAGTCTTTCTCTTTCTCTCTTTCTTCCCACGGAAAGTTCCCACCCCACCCCCCCTCCCCCCCACTCCCCTTCCCTGTCATGTACAAAGGCGGCCACGTAGCTGGCAGCAAGCCAGTCAAGTAGGTATTTACGGTGCCTACAACCCACCAGCCCCCCTCACCCTCTCACTCTGTCCCCCCTACAGGCCCTTCCCACTCCCTCTCACACCTCTCCTCTCCCCTCTCCCCCCGCTTCCCACCTGTCATATACAAAGGCAGCCACGTCACAGGCGGCAAGCCAGTCGGGGCGAGCGAGGAGGCGAGGTAGGGCGTCTGGGTGCACCTCCCTCAGCACCAGCGCCGTGCTGCTGCTGGCCAGCGCACTCAGATCCTGTGCGGGTAGATTGGGGCGCAGGGAAAGGGGGTGAGAAGGGTTTGTTGGGTGAGGAAAGGGAAGGGAACAGCAGGAAGGCGTCTGGATGCACCTCCCTCAATACCAGCACCGTACTGCTGCTGGCCAGCGCACTCAGGTCCTGACAGGGTTGGGGAGGTGAAGCAGAATGGGCGGGGGAGGGAAGGGAAGAGCAGCAGGGCGTCTGGGTGCATGTCCCTCATCACCAGCACCGTGCTGCTGCTGGCCAGCGCACTCAGACCCTGCGAGGGTGTGGGGGGATAGAGAGAGGAGTGTGTTGAATGAGGGAGTCGCGGGGAAAGTGAAGGGAGCAGTGGCAAGGGCGGCTGGATGCACCTCCCTCAATACCAGCACCGTGCTGCTGCTGACCAGAGCACTCAGACCCTGACCGGGTGAAGGGGACGCCGAGGGAGGGGGAGAGGCGGCATGGGAAGGAGGAAACGAAGCGTGTATAAGAGAACGGTGCATGGGAGTTAAGGAAATAGTGCTTGGGCGCCTGGGTGTTCTGCTAGTCTTGGCTCTGAGGTTCTGAAGAAGTGGGGGGGGATGGAGAGGATCTAATCACATCGGCATGTGGGCATGTGGGCATGTGGGCACGTGCGCACGTCACTGCTCCCCACCACATCACCAAACCACACCACACCACACCACACCACACCACACCACACCACACAACACAACACCAAACCATACCTGGCTCGCTATACTGCTGGGATCGCGATTCGAGGAGAGGGAGGAGGAGGTGGTGGTTGTGGAGGAGGAAGAGGCGGAGGAAGCGGAAGATGAGGAGGAGGAGGAGTGGGCTTGAGGGTCAGTGGAGACGAGGTTAACAGCAAACCGCTCGTCCTCCCCACACTTGATGTGTGATGGCTCAAATGGTCTGCGGAGACAGCGGGTAAGGGGGAGAAAGGGAGTGGGGGGAGGAGTGGGCGGGGGGCGTGGGTGGGGGTGTGGGCAGAGAGGAGTGAGGGTGAAGGAGTGGGGAGTCGGAAGGAGGGCGGCAAGGCGGAAAAAAAGGGTAAAAGGTGCTTGAGCTGGGAGGGGGATGTGCAAGGATGGAGGGGACGAGTGGAGAAGTGAAGTACAGCAGGCACATGCATGCAGCACAGGACTGTCGAGCAGCACAGAAGGACTGTCAAGCAGCACAGAAGGACTGTCGAGCAGCACAGAAGGACTGTCGAGCAGCACATGCAGGACAGTCAAGCAGCACATGCAGGACAGTCGAGCAGCACATGCAGGACAGTCAAGCAGCACATGCAGGACAGTCGTGTTGTGCTGCCACAGTGCAGGCACACACACACACACCACAAAAGAGGGGCCTGCCTCTGTGCGTCTCTGCCTGACTGACCACGTGATAAAAGTAATGGTTCAGACTTCTCAAAGCATTACTTTTAACACGTCTGTGCCTGACTGACGGCGCACTTTCCTGCCCACCTGCCCGCTTCCCTGCCCCGCCTGCTCATCCTCCTTTCACCTCGCGCTCACCAACCCAACCCAGTTAAGCAGAGCAGTTCTCCCTGTACCACTAAACTGTAACACCACCACAAAGCATTGCAGCACAAATCTGTCTATCTGTCCATCTGTCCATCTGCCCATCTTTCCATCTGTCCATCTGCCCATCTTTCCATCTGTCCATCAGTCCATCTGTCCATCTGTCCATCTGCCTGCCCGCCTGCCCTGCTTGCACCTCACGTTCAACAACCCACCTCCCCAGCAACGAGCTGAGCAGAGCAGACTTGCCCGCCTGTGCGGGCCCCACCACAAAGCACTGCACCACCAATCTGTCCATCTGTCCGCCCGTCTGTCTGTGTCCTGCTTCACAGCCCGCTCACCCGCCTCCCTGCCTGCCTACCCACCTGCCCGCCCGCCCGGATTCACCAACCCACCTCCCGAGCAACGAGCTGAGCAGAGCAGACTTGCCCGCCTGTGCGGGCCCCACCACAAAGCACTGCACCACCAATCTGTCCATCTGTCCGCCCGTCTGTCTGTGTCCTGCTTCACAGCCCGCTCACCCGCCTCCCTGCCTGCCTACCCACCTGCCCGCCCGCCCGGATTCACCAACCCACCTCCCGAGCAACGAGCTGAGCAGAGCAGACTTGCCCGCCTGTGCGGGCCCCACCACAAAGCACTGCAGCACGCGGCGCTGCGACGAGCCCGCCTTGCGGTCGTTGCGGCGCCGCCGCGTGAAGGTGAGCGCGGACGGGGCGAGGTCGGATGGGAAGCCCAGGTACAGCAGGTACTCGATGGCCCTCTCCGGATGCAGCAGCGCCATGAGCGACCACTGGAGGGGAGGGAAGAGGGAGAGAGGGGTGGGGGAGGAAGAAGGGGAGGGGCAGTGTGGGGAAGGGAAGAAGGTAAAGGCGAGGTCAGAGGGGAAGCCCAGGTAGAGCAGGTACTCGATGGCCCTCTCCGGGTGCAGCAGCGCCATGAGGGACCATTGGAGGGGAGGGAGGAGTGGAGGGCAATGGTGGCGGTTGTGAAGAAAGGTGGGGAGGAGGGAGGGGATTAATGCCAAAGAACGCCGAGGTCCGAAGGGAGGGCCGGGTAGAGCAGGTACTCGATGGCCCCCTCCGGGTGCAGCAGCGCCATGAGCGACCACTGGAGGGGAGGGAGAAGGGAGAGTTGGGTCCGGGAGGAAGAAAAAGGGGAAGAGTGTGGGGAAGTGCAGAAAAAGGTGGAGGTGGGAGGGGAATCCCAGGTAGAGCAGGTACTCTATGGCCCTCTCCGGGTGCAGCAGCGCCATGGGAGTGGAAGGAGACGGGAGGTGGGGTTGAGGGTGTGCGGAGGGCGAGGTCAGAGGGGAAGCACAGAAGGGGGGCGAGGTCAGAGGGGAGGTGCAGAGGGTGGAGGGCGGGGGAAAAGGGGGAAAGAAGAGGGAAAGGAGGAGGAGGGGGGGATGTGGAATGAAGAGCGGTGAAGACAGGCGGTGGACAGAAACGGTGGAGAAAAGCGGGGCACTGAAACTAGGTGTGGCGTGGATAACAAGTGCAGGTAGCAGGGCAGGGCACAGCAGGGTGATGCTGGCCTCACAAGGAAGGAACAAGGGGAAGCACGTGTGAGATCGACATCACCGGGAGACGCTAGAGAGCCGGGAGCAAGAACAGCATGGTTGTCACGGGGAGGTACGGTACGGCTATCAGGGAGACAGAGGTACCAAGGAGGGCGGAATACCAGGGAAAGATAGCCACTGAATGTGAGGGCTCCTGAAGGCGATGTCTCTGCTGCCCCTAGATACGGCGCCTCCTCCCATGGACTGATGCCAGCACAGTGGAAGAACGAGAGGGGAGGGGGAGGGGGAGGGAGGGGTGGTGGTTGGTTCAGGGAAGATGGGAGGAGAGAGGGGTAGGGAAAAGGGAGGAGAGCAGGAAGGAAGGCGTGGAGAGAGGGCAGAAACGGACGGAGATGGACTGAGGAGAGGGAGGGAGAGGGGATGGAAGGGGAGCTGCAGAAATGAAAAAGAGGTCATATGCATTGAGCTGGAGAGCGCGAATGGGAATGAAGAGCAGATGCGAATGGAGAGAACGAACGAACGAAACGCCTGCTCAAGTCTAAAGGGCAGGAGAGCAGTGGTGCTGTGTGCAGCGCTAGCAGTCAGCGCAACAATTCACGTTTGAGACGACTCAAAGCTTGCTAAGAGGGGCAACGATGGAGTCTAATTTTGAGGCAACTCTAAGATAAGCAGTGGTGATGCGTGCCAGTGCTGCTTCATGATTTGAGGCATACTTTGCTAATAGGGGCAGCAGTGGCGGTCACAAGAGGGTAGTTTTGAGGGGACACTGTTGACAGATGAGTGGTTGAGAGCAGCGGGTACACAGTGGGCGTTGCAGAGCAGCGTGCAGGCAGGAAGGGAGCAGTGGTATGCATGTGTGAGTGTACATACCATTTGGGCGTTCAGGGGTTAGCACCGAATAGGGGAGCTTTCTGTACATGCGTGCGCGCGCGCGTGAGCATGTGTGTGCATGTGTGTGCATGTGTGTGCATGTGTGTGCATGTGTGTGCTGTGCATGCGCGCGCAGCGCATGCGTTGCGTACCTGTTGGGTGCGGTGCTGAAGAGGTTGTTAAGCTCACTCGTGTTGAGCGCCCCGTCCTGATGCCACGCCCGTGCGCAGCATCCACGCGAGCAGGGGAACAGGGGCAGAGGAAACAGGGGGAAGGGAAGGTAGGGGGATTGCCCGGATGGGGGGAGGATGACAGTCATACACGGCCGTGGGAGCACAGGCACAGGCACAGGCACAGGGTGAGGAGAGGGTGGGAAGGAAGGCGAGGGGAGCAGATAACGGGAAGGGGATCCGGAGGGACTGCTAGGGGATGAGAAGGAAGAAGGTCGACGGGAGAATGAAGGGAGGACGGGGAGGAGGTCTGATGGGCTTAGATCTAAGCCCCCTTCTTGGCCAGACGGGGGGAGCATGACAATCATACAAGCCTCCTTCCCAACGGGACGTGAGTGCTGCTAACAGAAGAGGAGGAGTGTGGCTGGGCTGGGCTGGGCTGGGCTGGGCTGGGCTGGGCTGGGCTGGGCTGGGCTGGGCTGGGCTGGGCTGGGCTGGGCTGGGCTGGGCTGGGCTGGGCTGGGCTGGGCTGGGCTGGGCTGGGCTGGGCTGGGCTGGGCTGGGCTGGGCTGGGCTGGGCTGGGCTGGGCTGGGCTGGGCTGGGCTGGGCTGGGCTGGGCTGGGCTGGGCTGGGCTGGGCTGGGCTGGGCTGGGCTGGGCTGGGCTGGGCTGGGCTGGGCTGGGCTGGGCTGGGCTGGGCTGGGCTGGGCTGGGCTGGGCTGGGCTGGGCTGGGCTGGGCTGGGCTGGGCTGGGCTGGGCTGGGCTGGGCTGGGCTGGGCTGGGCTGGGCTGGGCTGGGCTGGGCTGGGCTGGGCTGGGCTGGGCTGGGCTGGGCTGGGCTGGGCTGGGCTGGGCTGGGCTGGGCTGGGCTGGGCTGGGCTGGGCTGGGCTGGGCTGGGCTGGGCTGGGCTGGGCTGGGCTGGGCTGGGCTGGGCTGGGCTGGGCTGGGCTGGGCTGGGCTGGGCTGGGCTGGGCTGGGCTGGGCTGGGCTGGGCTGGGCTGGGCTGGCTTGGCTGGGCTGGGCTGGGCTGGGCTGGGCTGGCTGGGCTGGGCTGGCTGGGCTGGGCTGGCTGGGCTGGGCTGGGCTGGGCTGGGCTGGGCTGGGCTGGGCTGGGCTGGGCTGGGCTGGCTGGGCTGGGCTGGGCTGGGCTGGGTGGGCTGGCTGCTGGGCTGGGCTGGCTGGTGCTGGGGCTGGGCGGGCTGGGCTGGGCTGGGCTGGTGGGCTGGGCTGGGCTGGCTGGGCTGGGCTGGGCTGGGCTGGGCTGGGCTGGGCGGGGCTGGGCTGGGCTGGGCTGGGCTGGGCTGGGCTGGGCTGGGCTGGGCCTGGGCTGGGCTGGGCGGGCTGGGCTGGGCTGGGCTGGGCTGGCTGGGCTGGGCTGGGCTCGGGCTGGCTGGGCTGGGCTGGGCTGGGCTGGGCTGCGGATGGGCTGGGCTGGGCTGGGCTGGGCTGGGCTGGGCTGGGCGGGCTGGGCTGGGCTGGGCTGGCTGGCTGGGCTGGGCTGGGCTGGGCTGGGCTGGGCTGGGCTGGGCTGGGCTGGGCTGGGCTGGGCTGGGCTGGGGCTGGGCTGGGCTGGGCTGGGCTGGGCTGGGCTGGGCTGGGCTGGGCTGGGCTGGGCTGGGCTGGGCTGGGCTGGGCTGGGCTGGGCTGGGCTGGGCTGGGCTGGGCTGGGCTGGGCTGGGCTGGGCTGGGCTGGGCTGGGCTGGGCTGGGCTGGGCTGGGGCTGGGCTGGGCTGGGCTGGGCTGGGCTGGGCTGGGCTGGGCTGGGCTGGGCTGGGCTGGGCTGGGCTGGGCTGGGCTGGGCTGGGCTGGGCTGGGCTGGGCTGGGCTGGGCTGGGCTGGGCTGGGCTGGGCTGGGCTGGGCTGGGCTGGGCTGGGCTGGGCTGGGCTGGGCTGGGGGCTGGGCTGGGCTGGGCTGGGCTGGGCTGGGCTGGGCTGGGCTGGGCTGGGCTGGCTGGGCTGGGCTGGGCTGGGCTGGGCTGGGCTGGGCTGGGCTGGGCTGGGCTGGGGCTGGGCTGGGCTGGGCTGGGCTGGGCTGGGCTGGGCTGGGCTGGGCTGGGCTGGGCTGGGCTGGGCTGGGCTGGGCTGGGCTGGGCTGGGCTGGGCTGGGCTGGGCTGGGGTGGGCTGGGCTGGGCTGGGCTGGGCTGGGCTGGGCTGGGGCTGGGCTGGGCTGGGCTGGGCTGGGCTGGGCTGGGCTGGGCTGGGCTGGGCTGGGCTGGGCTGGGCTGGGCTGGGCTGGGGCTTGGCTGGATGGGCTGGGCTGGGGCTGGGCTGGGCTGGGCTGGGCTGGGCTGGGCTGGGCTGGGCTGGGCTGGGCTGGGCTGGGCTGGGCTTGGGCTGGGCTGGGCTGGGCTGGGCTGGGCTGGGCTGGGCTGGGCTGGGCTGGGCTGGGCTGGGCTGGGCTGGGCTGGGCTGGGCTGGGCTGGGCTGGGCTGGGCTGGGCTGGGCTGGGCTGGGCTGGGCTGGGCTGGGCTGGGCTGGGCTGGGCTGGGCTGGGCTGGGCTGGGCTGGGCTGGGCTGGGCTGGGCTGGGCTGGGCTGGGCTGGGCTGGGCTGGGCTGGGCTGGGCTGGGCTGGGCTGGGCTGGGCTGGGCTGGGCTGGGCTGGGCTGGGCTGGGCTGGGCTGGGCTGGGCTGGGCTGGGCTGGGCTGGGGTGGGCTGGGCTGGGCTGGGGTGGGCTGGGGTGGCTGACCTGGTCGTTGTCAAACGCTCTGAAGCGCGCACACACAAACTCCAGCGCCTTGCTCGACAGCTCCACACTCTGGCCGGAGGGCACACGGGGAATAACAGGAGCATGCACGGGCGGACAGAGGGGCACGGGCGGACCGAGAGGCGTGGGCGGACAGGGGGGAATAGGGGAGTGTGGAGGACAGGAGCTTGGAAGTTAGAGGCGCGGATAGGTGGAAGACAAGAGGGGAATTTCGACAAGGCACAAAGACAGACAGACAGACATACACAAGGCCAGCCCAAGCCCCAGCAATGGAACCTTATCCTCGCATACCCCCTCCCCCCCACTCCCCACCTCCCTCCCTTCCACTCTCCCATCCTTTCCTCTACCCCACTCCTGTCCTCACCCCTACCTCCCCCATCTCCCATCGCCACCCTTCCCTTCCCTTTCCCCAAGCTTTCTCCTCCTTCCCTTGTTAAAATATATGTTGTGTAGCATGCCAACACATGTGACTGTACACCAATTGTGGTGTACAGTTGGGTTGGGACTACACCCAACTTTGGGTGTAGTCTTGCACTTTGGGGTGCCAATCCACCAAATTGTGGTGGAGCCCCCAAATGCAACCCACTTGGCTTATGGGTGCCTCACTTCCCACAAGTGAGGTCATCTCAAGCCAAGTGGGCCTAGGGTTGCCTCACTTCTACAAGTGAGGTCAACCCAACCTATGGTCACCTTTACCCTTCTCTTCCAAGCCTCTCTTCCAACTATGTATGCTAGGTTTCTCCTCTAATGAAGTTACTTGTTCAATTTGCTACTTTCACATGGTATAGAGCTACTTGTTCCTAGGCCTTACCTCTCCCTCCCTTCAGTTTTTTTTTTTCCCCATGGGCCCACCCCACAGCTACAAACCCTTTCCTACGCGTGGCTCAACTAGCCATCACTAGCATACTCTCGCCGCGACCTACGCCGTCGCCGCCGTTCCCCCCCCCCTCCCGCCGCGATTACGCCTTCCTCGCCTGCGGATACCACCGCCGCGAGCGCAACGCCGCTGTCCCCTCCTCCCCCCCGCCGCGACCCCCTGTCGCCGCCTCCCCCTCTCGCCGCCGCGCCTGATTCGGCGCCGCCTGCGCATCCCGCCGCCGCGACGCCTCGTCGCCGCCTGCCCGTCCCTCCGCCGCGACGTCACGTCGCCGCGTTCCCGCCGCCGCGCCTGCTACGGCGCCGCCTGCGCATCCTGCCGCCGCGACGCCTCGTCGCCGCCTGCCCGTCCCTCCGCCGCGACGTCTCGTCGTCGCGTTCCCGCCGCCGCGCCTGCTTCAGCGCCGCCTGCGCATCCTGCCGCCACGACGCCTCGTCGCCGCCTGCCCGTCCCTCCGCCGCGACGTCACGTCGCCGCCTCCCCTTCCCGCCGCCGCGCCTGCTTCGGCGCCGTCTGCCCGTCCCGCCGCCGCGACAGCTCGTCGCCCCCTGCCCGTCCCGCCGCCGCGACCTAACATCGCCGCCTGCGCATTCCGCCACCGCGACAGCTCGTCGCCCCCCTGCCCGTCCCGCCGCCGCGACCTAACATCGCCGCCTGCGCATTCCGCCGCCGCGACTGCTCGTCGTCACCTTCCCGCGCCCCCCCCCCCCCCCCCCCCCCCCCCCCCCCCCCCCCCCCCCCCCCGCCGCGATTTCGCATTTCCGCCTCCCCTCCCACCGCCGCACCTGCTTCTGCGTCACCCACGCATTTCGCTGCCCCTTCTGCATCGCCACCCGCCCGCAATTTCCCCCGCCGCAACTGCAACATCGTCGCCCCGCGGTTCCCGTTAACGCGACTGCGCCGCCGCCGCCCTGCCGCCGCCACTGCTTCGGCGCCGCCTGCCCATCCTCCACCGCGACCGCGCCATCCCCGCCCACACTTCCTGCCGCCGTGACTGCCCCGTCGCCGCCTGCAGATTCAGCCGCAACTGCACCCTCCCTTCCTCCTCTCCCTACTCCTCTCCCCCCCCCTCCCCCTCCCCCTGCGCCCCTCGTTGCCGCGGCCTGCCTGCCGCCGCCGTCCCTCGTTTCGCCGCCGCAGCCATTTCCCCGCCGCCTTCACCTTTCCGCCGCCGCAACCTGCTTGCAGCCGCCGCTCTCAACATCGCCGCCGCGGCCCTTCCGCTGTCGCCTGCGCCCTTCGTCGTCGCGGCCTGCTTGCCGCCTCCGCCCCCGACTTTGCCACCGCCTCCCCTTCCCGCCGCCGCACGTTCGCACAGCCGCCTGCGCCCTTGTCACTGTCGCTCCCTGCACCTTGAACGCCTCTGCCCTCCACCGCTGTCTCCCTCCTTTACCCCCCCCCTCCCTCCTCCTGCCAGCGGCAGCAGCAGCGGCAGCAGGGGAAGTGCAGCAGCCTCAGCAGCAGCAACTTCACCCTTGGCCGCCGCGGGTCCACCCGCCGTCACCCATCATGACTGCTACCCCCCCTGCCCCTCTCCCCCCTCCTCACTGGAGCAGTGTTACTCCTCGCCCCTCCCTTCTCAACACTCCGACCCTCCACTCCTCCCCCCCCCCCTTATCTCCGCCTGCTCACCTCCTCCCCCCCTCCCCATCTGCGGCGTTTCCAGCAGCTCCAGCATCAGCAGCAGCAGCACCTCCAGCAGTGGCAGCAACCACAATTTCTCCAGCCACACCCCCCACATCTCCTCCAGCCGCGGCAATCGCAGCAGCAGCAGTTCTTCCAACACCGACAGCAGCCGCAATCTCTCCAGCCTCACCCGCCACAGTTTCTCCATCCCCAGCAGCAGCAGTCCTTCCAGCCGCAGCAGCAGCAGTCCTTCCAGCAGCAGCAGCTGCCACAGTTCCTCCCGCCGCAGCAGCAGCAGTCCTTCCTGCAGCAGCAGCAGCCACAGTTTCCCCAGCCGCAGCAGCAGCAGTGCTTCCAGCAGCAGCAGCTGCCACAGTTCCTTCCGCCGCAGCAGCAGCAGCAGTCCTTCCAGCAGCAGCGGCAGCCACAGTTTCTTCAGCCGCAGCAGCAGCAGTGCTTCCAGCAGCAGCACCAGCCACAGTTCTCTCCGTCCGCAGCGGCAGCAGTGCTTCCAGCAGCAGCAGCCACCACAATCTCTCCAGCCGCAGCAACCGCAGCAGCATCGGTGGTGCTTCCAGCAGCAGCAGCAGCAGCCCAATCTCTCCAGCCGCAACCGCCACAGTCTCTCCCACCGCAGCAGCCGCCGCAGCAACAGTACTTACAGCAGCAGCACCCGCCGCTCTCTCCCTCTTCTATCCATGAAACAACTCTCCAGTACTCTGTGTTCCCTCCCTCTCCTTCCCCCCCCACCCTGGACTTTGTCCTTGACAGTGGGGCCACCGAAACCGCACTAAAAGACGCTGGCACCCTCACCCCCCTCCCACTTCCCACCCAGGTTCATGGTGCCGACTCCAGCTTTTCCATCCCCTGCACTCACCTCTCCACCCTTCCTTGCACCGCCTTCCCATCCGGTACAGTCACCGGTCTCCACATCCCTACCCTCCGCAATAACCTCCTCTCCCACCGTGAACTCCAAGGCGTTGGCATTACCGCCATATACCCTGGCTTTGCTTCCTACTGCGATCTCTATCACACCGCCTCTGGTCGTTTCCTCCTGCGCATTCCCCTTTGCCCTCCCACTCGCCTTTACACGCTCCGCACACCCCGTCCCTCCTTTTATCACGTCACCACTCGTGCTGGTACTTCCACCGGTCCCCTTCTCTCTCCCCCTCCCCCTCCTCTTCCCCCTCACCCTCCCCCTCCCCTTCTCCCTCTCCCTCCGATATCCTCCTCCTCTACTCCATCCGCCTCCTCCTCCCCCCCCAACTTTTCCCCCACCCCATCCCCCTCCTCCTCTACTGCCCTCTCCCATCCTGCGGTGCTCCTACATCACAGACTCGGCCATCCCAACTTCGCCGCACTTCGCTCCACCGTCACCTCTCGCCTCCTTAACAGCCTTCCTCCCACCTTACCTCCCCTCCCCTCCTCCACTGCTCCCCCATGCCCATCATGCATTCATGGCAAGCTCAAACAGTCCCCCCATCACAGTCACCCCACCTTCGCTCCCGCCCCCATTGACCTTGTTCACATGGATCTCTGGGGCCCTTATCCCATCCGCTCTCGTCAGGGGCACAGGTACATGCTCGTGCTCGTCGACGACCACAGTCGGTACTCCACCGTCTTCTTTCTTCACACGAAAGACCAGGTGCCGGCTGTGGTCATCAACTGGGCTGAGCAGTGCCGCAACCACTTCAAACGTCCCATAGGCCGCCTTCACTCTGACGGTGGGGGTGAGTTCATCAATCATACTCTCTCCACTTACTGCAAAACATACGGCATTCAGCAGACCTCCACCCTTCCCCACTCCCCTCAGCAAAACGGCATCGCTGAGAGTCGCATCCGTGAGATCACCAAGATTGCGCGCTGCCTCATTGCTCACGCCTCCACCCCTCCCTCCCTCTGGAGCTATGCTCTCATTCATGCCGCCCTCCTCCTCAATCTCCGCTCCCACCCTCAGCATCCCTCCTCCTCCCCCACAGAACTCTGGTCCAAGGCCAAGCCTGACGCCGCAGGCCTTCGTGTTTGGGGCTGCAAGGCGTTCGTCCTCATTCCACCGGCCGACCGCTCCCGCGCTGCTGGCAAGCTCGCTCCTCGCGCTCTGGAGTGTGTCTACCTTGGGCACAATCGTGATTCCCCTGGCTACCTATTCCTCCACCCTCCCACCAATCGCCTCATCCGCAGCATTGACGTCGTCTTCGACGAGTCCACTCCCTACTACTCCACCCCTCCTCCTGACCCCCTCCCTCCTCCCACTCGCCCCCTCGCTTGGACCGACACCGTCCTCCCGCCTCTTCTCCCTCCAGCGCCTCTCCTCCCACCTGTCGCCGCTCCACTCCCGCCTTCCTCCTCTGCCGACGTCTACAACCCTGCCGCACCCGCCTCCCCCGCTCACTCCACTGCACCCCCTCCCCCCTCTCCCTCCTCCTCTCATTCTCCTCCTTTCCAGCAGCCGGATCAGCAACAGCAAGGGCAGCAGCAGCAGCAGCAGCAGCCGGATCAGCACCAGCAGGGGCAGCAGCAGCACCAGCAGCAGCCGCGGCAGCAGCAGCAGCAGCCGGAGCAACACCAGCAACGGCAGCAGGGGCAACAGCAGCAGCAGCAACGGCAGCCGGGGCAGCAGCAGCAGCCGGAGCAACAGCAGCAGCAGCAGCCGGGGCAACCGCAACAGCAGCAACCGGGACAGCAGCAGCAGCAGCAGCAGACACAGCAGCAGCACGGTCCGCAACAGCCGCAACAACAAGGGCAGCAGCTTCAGCAGCACCAGCAGCAGCAGCGGCGCCGTGCCACTTCCCGCTCCTCCCCCTTCCTCCTCCCTTACATCCATACCCGCTCGGTGGACAAAATCCTTGGGGCTCCTCCTCCTGCCTCCATTCAGCTCCTTGAGGACTCCCATGAGGAGTTCCTCAACATTCGGGAGCACACTCCGTTCCTTGCCTCCCTCTACCTTGACTTCCTGGGCTTTCCTGTCCTTGGCGCCACCACCACCCCCACCATCTTCACTCCCTCCACCTTCCAGGAAGCCATCACCTGCCCTGACGCGGATAAATGGATAGCAGCGATCTTCCTGGAGTGTGAGGCATTCATTCGCAACGACTCCTTTGTCGATGTCCCCCTCCCAGCCGGCGCCAACCTCGTGGACGGGAAATGGGTCTTTCGGGTGAAGCAGCTGCCGGGCGAGGAACCGGTGTACAAGGCCCGCTACTGCGCCAAGGGGTTCACGCAGACTTGGGCCGAGGAATACTGGTTCACCTACGCCCCCACCGCCAAACCACCCACCCTTCGCGCCGCCCTCGACATTGGCGCACGTGACAACATGGAGATCGATTCCATGGACGTCTCCAATGCGTTCCTGCAGGGCGACCTGCACGAGCGCATTTTCCTCCGGCGACCCCCCGGGTTCCACGCAACCTTCCCTGAGAACACTGTCTGGCAGCTGCGCCTCCCTGTCTACGGTTTGAAGCAGGCACCGCGTGAGTGGCATGCGAAGCTGGCTGCCACCTTAGGGTCTCTCGGCTTCTCTGCTTCCCACTCCGACGCCAGCCTCTTCATCCGCTCCTCCCCCCGCCGATTCTTCATTCTGGTGTATGTGGACGACATGATCCTGCTCTCTGACACCAGGGCCGACATGGAGCAGATGAAGCTGTCACTGCAGCAGCGTCTCAAGTGCAAAGACCTTGACGCCCTCACTCACTACCTGTGCATGGCCATCACGCGCAACCGCCCTGCTCGCACCATCACCCTCTCACAGTCCCACTACATCGGCCAGGTCTTGGAGAAGTTCGACATGGCGCAGGCCAAGCCTGTCTCCACCCCCCTCCCTTTCGGCCACCAACTCGCACCACCCTCCTCCCCCACCTCCTCCCCCCACCCCTATGCCGAGCTCGTTGGGTCCCTGATGTACGCGATGATGTGCACCCGCCCCGACCTCGCCTACCCCATCAGCGTGCTCGCCCGCTTTGTCGGCACCGGTCGTCACACTGAGGAGCACTGGAAAGCTGCCAAGCGGGTCCTCCGCTACCTTCGCGGGACCAAGGACCTTGCCCTCACCCTTGGCGGCCCTTCCCCTCCTCTTCTCTCGGGCTTCAGTGACTCCTCTTGGGCTGACACGCAGCCGGACCGCCGCTCCTCCCAGGGCTACGGCTTCACCCTTGGCAGCGGCCTCATCAGCTGGCGCTCCACCCGCTCCTCCGCCATCTCTCTCTCCACCTGCGAGGCCGAGCTCTACGCTGGCACCATGGCCGCCCAGGAGTCCCGCTGGCTTTGTTTCCTTCTTGCAGAGCTTGGCGCCCCCCAGACGTGCCCCACCCTCTGGTGCGACAATGCCAGCACCATCCATCTCACTCAGGACCCCGTCTATCACGCCCGCTCCAAACACATCGAGCTCCGCTACTTTTTCATTCGCGAGCTCGTCCAGAAGGGCCTTATTGCCGTTCGCAAGATTGCGACCGAGGCCAACTTGGCCGACATCTTCACTAAGGCCCTCCTTCGCCCTGCGCACTCTGCTTTCCTCTGCCTCATTGGCCTCGCTCGCCCGGGCGCCCCTTGATTCAGGGGTTGTTCTCTTCCTGTGTTAGCATGCTAAGGGGTTGTGTTAAAATATATGTTGTGTAGCATGCCAACACATGTGACTGTACACCAATTGTGGTGTACAGTTGGGTTGGGACTACACCCAACTTTGGGTGTAGTCTTGCACTTTGGGGTGCCAATCCACCCAATTGTGGTGGAGCCCCCAAATGCAACCCACTTGGCTTATGGGTGCCTCACTTCCCACAAGTGAGGTCATCTCAAGCCAAGTGGGCCTAGGGTTGCCTCACTTCTACAAGTGAGGTCAACCCAACCTATGGTCACCTTTACCCTTCTCTTCCAAGCCTCTCTTCCAACTATGTATGCTAGGTTTCTCCTCTAATGAAGTTACTTGTTCAATTTGCTACTTTCACATCCCTTCCCCCTTTCCCCTCACCCCAGCCACCCACCTGGTCTGGCAGCAGCTGTGCTGGCAGGCACGTGATCTCCTCACACAGGTGCAGAGACGACGAGTACCAAAACCAGCCCTGCACGGTACACGTGGTCTCACACACGCCCTTCGCTTTCCTCCTCCCCGGCGTCTTCCGCCCCAGCCCTCACCCACCTGATCTGGCAGCGGTTGCGCCGGCAGCCGAGTGATCTCCTCACGCAGGTGCAGTGACGACGAGTATCCAAACTTGCGCAGCACGGTCCAGGTGGTTTCGAGGCGGCCGCGCTCGATGAAGAGTGCGTGCAGGAAGAGGAAGCCGGTGAGCGTGAGCCCGTTGCCCGCCACGCCATCCACCATCTTCTCTGCCACCACTCGCTTCACCCCCACCAGCTCCGCCGGCTGTAGCGGCACCGAGAAACACTCCACCTGGGGGGGACAGGAAGGGACAGGAAGGGAGGGGGGACGGTGGGGGATTGGGATTGGGGATGCGGGGGGGGGGGGGTGGTCGTGGCGCACGGAAGGAGCAGGAGAGAGACGGGAGGGAGAGAGAAGGAGCAAGAGGGGATGGGAGGAGAGGGAATGGAGTGAGTTTTAAGTGAGCTGAGAGGAAGCCGGTGAGCGTGAGCCCGTTGCCCGCCACGCCATCCACCATCCACCTCAAAGATCGCCACCATGTGCTTCGACCCCACCAGCTCCGCCGGCTGTAGCGACACTGAGAAGCACTCCACCTGGGGGGGAGGAGGATGGGGGGAGGATGGGGGCCGGGGGGGTGAGGGCAATAGGGGGAACGCGAGGAGAGGGAACTGGAGGAGCGGGAGAGGAAGGAGGGGCAGGGATTGTGCAAATGCCTTCCATTCTGTGCGCTTCAAATCTTATTATTCTGACACACATGCGAGCAAAAGAGAGAGAGAGAGAGAAAAAAAAAATATAAAATAAAAAATAAAAAACGAAAACGCAGTAGCATGGCAAGGTGCAGTGAGGACGTGCGGGGGCGACTTGTGAGGCGTTGAGGTCGCATCGTCCTCGTTCTCGTTCTCGTTTGAGTCGACTCACTAAGTCACCTCAGTGGAGACATGCAACACGAGGTGCGGTGCGGTGCAGTGTGGGGATCACCTGGAATGCGTTGAGCTCGGTATCGGAGAGCACGCCATCACCGTCCACATCGCAGAGCATGAAGATGCGCATGAGCGCTCGCACACACGCCGGCCGCAGCGCCTGTGTCTGGCGGTCAAACAGCGGCCCCGTGGGGTGCAGCACCGCCCGCTGCGCAAAGAAAAACACCTCCGCCACCTGCCATGCGTGTGCAGCGTGCGGAGGAGGGCAGGGGGAACGGGAGGGGGAACGGGATGGGGAATGGGAGGGGAAGGGGGAGGGGGAACGGGATGGGGAATGGGAGGGGAAGGGGGAGGGGGAACGGGATGGGGAAAGGGAGGGGGAAGGGGAGGGGATGCGGTGTTGGGAGGTTCGAGAGGGGCTTGGAGGGGAATTCGGGGGAGAGCGAGGAGAGGAGAGGCAGAGTGTGCGATGTTGAGGTGACTTGTGAGTCGACTAAACAGGCACGATGGACGGTGGATGCTGAGAAAGCATGGATGAGTCTACTGGTGGACTGATTGAGGAAGCTGAGCATCCGGTGGTCTACCAGCCAGGAAACATCTGGTGCTCTTGTTGATTGTCTAACCGCTCCCCAACTGCCTTTGCCCTACCACGTCTTCTCCATCGCTCCTTCCCTTCTTCACCCTCCCTTTCCTGAACCCTGCCACAACCTGCCCTTCCCCCTCAATACGCCCGAATTGCACTCTCGCCACCATCCCCTTCCAACACACATGCACCCTCCCTCGCTTCCCACTCGGCCCCAAACCTCTCTCCCCCTCCCCCTTTCCAACTCTCGCTCCCTGCGGCCCTCCCTCTCCCCCTCCCCTTCCCCCTCTCCCTCCCCCTCCCCCTCCCCCCTCCCCCTCCCCCAGCGGCTCTTCTTGCCCACACACCCACCTGCACGCGGCGCAGCGCGGAGCATTCGAGGCACGTCTCGACCTCTTTGAACTCGTCCATGATCGGCGCGACCAGCACGTCCAGCGGCTGCTGCGCCACCCCCCCGCCCCCCGCCCCTACTGCCGGCCCCCCCACTCCCCCCGCCGCCGCAGCGCCTGGCGCGTCTCGAAGGTCCAGCTTGCAGCCCACCACCACGACTGGCACGGGCACCTGCGGACGGGGGCCGAGCGAGGTACGAGTGGGGGACGAGCGGGGGATGAGAGGGGGATGAGCGGGGGATGAGCGGGGGATGAGCGGGGGGCGAGCGGGGGCCGAGCGGGGGATGAGCAGGGGACGAGCGGGGGATGAGGGCGGGGGATGGGGGCGGGGGATGAGGGCGGGGATGAGGGCGGGGGACGAGGGCGGGGGACGAGATGCATTTGCGCGTGGAAACTGACGCACATGCGCTCGCGGTACCTATTTAGCAAATGTAACTTGCCAGACACTCCCCCTCTTTCCCCCTTCCCTCTTCTCTTTCCCAACCTCCGCACCCATCTCCCTGCGACTGACAACCCAGCATCCTGCGACGGACCGTCCCAGGGATCCCTGACCCGCGACAGCACCTGCAGTTGTCTTAGGAGCGGCAGCCAGTAGGAGGAGACGGAGTTGAGCGACGCCTGGTCGTCGCACGCGAACGTTATCACCACCGCGTCCGCCGCCCGTAGCTCCGCCTCCACCGCGCCCCGCTCCTCCCGCCTGCGCGCGCACGCACGACACGACATGCAACACGGAAGGGGAAAGGCGGGTGAGAGCGCCGCCGCAGCAGGAAAAGTAACACGTGGGCGTCACATGCACGGAAACTGTGCGACGGCATGAGGCTTTTAGGAGGCGGAGGGGCTCTGCAACCGATCCGGTTTCACGAGACGCGCCACGAGCGCCGGAGAACGGCCGGAGCCGCGTGCTATCGAAAGGGCCGCCGAGACGAGGGTGAAAGACGGGATCAAGACTACGCGTCGACTTTCAAGCGAACGGCGAGATTAAAAGAGAATGAGAGCCGTTGAAGGTGAGCGATGCTACGTCAAGCATCGCATGCGAGATCTAGAGCGGCAACATTGCTCCCTGCGCGTGTGGCAGAAAGAATATTCGCTTCACAACGACACCGTGGCGTCGCTGCCTCGGACTGCACCGCACGCTGAACCTCCCTGCACCGAGTCTAAGTGACCCTAAACCTAGCGGGGAGCGGAACGGCGTGCCGACCACGCAGGTGTGGCGGAAACACGGATCGACGCCCGGGAGCAGGCTAAAGGCGGATAAGCCTAGGAATAAAGAGACGCCGGAAAGGTTGATCTGGAGGGACTACTGAGTCGAGTCGACACAAAAGACGTAACCGGACAGTCTGAAGTGGAATCAGGCTGGAAGGGAATAGGAAAAGGGCGGAAAGGCTGACTGGAGAAGGAAGAAAGAGGTTGAGAGTGGAGTGACGACTCAGCAGGCGTATAGCGGGGCGCAACGATCAGGGCAGACGGTTAGGTTTCGAGCGACGGGAGGACACGGGAATGGAGGCAATACACGGTAGCGTACCTGCAAAGCTTCAGCCAACTTGCAAGTTAAGTGGGAATGGAGGGTGGGGGGTAATGACACACGGGAGACGTCTACGCACCGAAAGACTCAATCCTAAAGTAGGTCTACGAGACGTTCCAATGTAATAAGCTAACACTTGCGACGACAAGGGGATCCTGAACCAGTAAAGCAGGCGACGGCGTGCGAAAGATACGGACAGCGTACACGGCGTGCAAGGGAGACGACGGAGACTAGGCTCGCGACGACAGACGGCAGGCAGAGCGGTCGACGGAGAAGGGAGAGGGGGAAAGAGACGGAAATGGTGTTCATGCCACGTGGTGGCCGAGCCTGAAAGTAGAGGGAGGTGGAAATAGAGAAAGAAAGAGAGAGCGGGAGGAGAGCAAGACGGCCGAGAAGAGCGACGAAACACGAGCAAGAAGGCATGAGCAAGACCTTGATGACGTGTCGACGATCAGGAGCGGGATTTTATCGGAGAAGGAATCGGCGAGATAGCGAGTTGGCGGCAGCACGGGCACGGGCTCCTCCGGAAAGGCCTCTGTGAGACATGAGATTATTAACGACGTCTTGCCCGTGCCTTTGTTCCCCACCACCACCACGCGGATCGCCCCGCCGTTCTCGCCCGCTCCGCTCCCCGACGCGCCGCTCTCTGCGTCGAACCGCTCCGTGCCTAGTCTGTCGCCGGGTCTCGGCCGATCGCCTTCTTTCGTGCTCATCTCGCCGGATCTATTCCGGATCCACTCGAAAAAACTGCAAGAAGTTTACAGAGGCGCGCTTTCCAAAAGAGTATCTAAGCAATCGGCAGGGAACTCGAGTGATGGATCACGAAGGGACGATGACGGCAAGCTGGCTGTTCTAAACGTTAGGGACAGGCGGCGCTGAGGTCGCGCTTCGCAAGCCTAACTCGGGAAAAAAAGCACGGGATTTGGCCTGACCTGAACTCGGTTCTAGAAAGAACTGTTACAGTAGGAGTAAAGACAAGGCTATTCTTTCAACATGCTGCCCAGCAGCACACAGTACTTTCAAGAGTGAGCGAAATGGCGAGCTTATGTAACTGGAAAACCTTGAGATCTACCAACCAGAGAATGTTTGCGAACAAAAGCGATGCAATTTTGTTTTGCTGTTCCTCGAGGATGTCGCACTAACTCAGTCAGCGATTTGCTTCTCCCACCTGGCGGAGGTGGTGGCAAAGTTGGCAGGTTAAGGTTAAGGTTATATAAGGTCGTAACCATGTACAGCAAAAGCATAGAGCAGCTAGAGATATGGTCTACACAAACCAACAAAGGCGAACGTAGGAAAACACGTTATTTCTCTATCCATTGGATAGCCACCAGCAGAATTGGGGAGCTCTCTATGCTCAAAAAGGGGAAAGGTCTAGGGGGGGCGGAAGGGGTCCCCAAGCAACCAGGAAGAGCGGAGGTTCGGGTGGATAGGAGGGGTTCCGTTGTGGTCGAAGACGAGGAAGCGGAGTCGAGTGGCCAGCTTGATTTGAGCGGCTGAGCGTAGTTGTTTTTTCACTGATTGTTTCTTCCTGCGCCATAATAATTTTTTGAAAGCAATGAGGAACTTGGCCAGTATGAGCTGGAGGATCTCAAACCGGGAGGAGGGCGAGTCTTGGAACTTGTGTTCACAGCGTGCATTCCAAATAGCTTTTGTAGATGCCCCAACTAGGAGACTCCAGGGGGCCACCTGGCCAGTTCTGGAGGAGAGTGGGAAGAGCAGGAGCTCAGGAGGAGGAGAGCAGTGGAGGTGACGACGAGCAACGGAGGAGAGAGCGGAGATCACTGCGGGGGTCACCCCACACTCCTAGAAGATGTGGGATATAGTCTCTGTGGGTGCGGCAAGGCAGAGTGAGCAAACTCCCCGGTGTGCAGCGAAGTTGAAGCGCGAACCCGAAGGAAGGGTGCGAGTGTAGAACCGGTACATGACGTCGCGCTGGAGTCTGGTTGCTCGCGTAGAAAGTCATAGGAGAGGTCGGGGAGGAAGGGAGGAGGAGCGGGGAGGACGTGGATCCAGCGGGCGGCGTGGTCGAGGGGGAGCTGAGTATAGAGCCGGCGACGAATGTCGGCTACGCTGGGGCATCCGTCCTGTAGGATGTTGAGCCGCGCGCCGAGCCCTGCACCTGTATGGAAGGGGCCTGCAAGCCAGGACCCGACAACGTGTACCGCAGAGAGGGCACATATGTGGAAGGTGCCATCTCCGAACGATGGCCGGACGATGAACCGGTTGGGAAGGACACGGTGAAGAGAGACTGAGAGCGACGATGGAGGGAAGAAGGCCGTGACTTGAAGAGCAAGAGTGGGGGAGGTCTCAGAGTCTTCTTCAGGGACGAACCACTCCCCAAGGGCTGCCGAGGGGGGAGTGGGGGAGCGAAGGGCTGACCACCAGGGCTTGGGGATGGCGCGGACGAGTTCTCGCCAGACTCTTCGTCCAGAGGAGGAGTTGGCTAGGGGAAACAATGAGGTGAAATATTTAAAGGAGACCACACCAAATGAGTGAAAGATGAGAGAGATCAAATGGCCGACGCGAACCTGCATGGATAGGAGGAAGCGTTCACGCGTGAGAATCCCGAAGGTCTTCCCGTTAGGTTTGAGAATAAAACGGTTAAAGGCGGTGGGCTCACCCATTATACACATAGGGACGAGGCGAGGTGGGGCAATGTCCGGGGTGATCTCTATCAGTGCTTGTAGTTCAGCGAGTGCTCGACTCGGGATTACCGTTGGCAGAATGCCTGATTGAAGGATGGCGGAGTGCGCTAGGAGACAGTGTGTGCCAAAAGGGAGGCAGACGGCGGCTCTCGCTGCTTCCTCTGATGGTGAGGCGTCGAGGCGGCGGAGCGCGCGATGAGCGGCTAGAGCGCGGATTTGGGTAGAAGGGGCGATCGCTCCAAGGCCTCCCTAGCGAGTGGAATTATACAGGAGCCGATTAGGGATGAGACGGACCGCAAGGCCGTGTTTCTTGAAACGAGAGGAAGATAGGAAGTTCCCGACCAAGACTTCTAGACGTTTGATAATGTCGGGGGAGGCAGGTTGAAAGCGGTCGGGGAAGGAGATAATAGAATTTAAGAAGACCGACGTAAGTGACTTGCGGCAGGTAGCTGTGGCACGAAGGGCGGCAAGGAACTTGGCCATGCGTTGAACGCGTGGACCAGGTAGTGTCGCCTGGTTGTGCACGTTCGACGTAAATGCCAAGAATGCGTTCTGCCTCTTGAGGAGTGCGGATGGGAATGGGGCCAGCCAGGAGGATTTGTTCCGGGGCAATGTGAAAAGGGATAATTGAACATTTGTTCCAGTTGGGGTGTTCTCCAGAGACTGCGGCGAAGGTCCGGAGGTGCATAAGTGTGGTCCCAAACTCTCTAACGGAGTAGAGAAAGATGGTGACATCGTCAGCATAGCAGGCCATGAGACGGAGCTGCGTCGTAGAGAGGGGGCAGGTGTAGGATTTCAATGACACACACAAAGAGGAGGGGGGCGAGAGGGCAACCTTGTCGGAACCCCGTTCGGACAGGGAAGGTGGGTCCAGCGAGGTTGTTAACGGAGATGCAGGTGGAGGTGTTAGTGTGCATGAGGCGAACCCAGGCGATGAACTGCTCCGGGAGTCCCACCATGGCAAGCGCTTGGAAGAGGAAGGCCCGGTCCACCAGGTCATAGGCCTTGCGGAAGTCAACGGTTAAGGCGAGCAGGGGGGGTTTCGTGGTTGTGCTCCAGTCGAATATGTTAAGTGTATCGTTGATCGTATCGCCAATTGTTTTGCTTTTAATGAAAGCGGTTTGGGAGGGGTGGATAATCAGAGGGAGAGCGAGTTGCAACCGATTGGTGAGGCATAGGGCTAGCACATTGTAGTCCAAGTTCATAAGGGTGATAGGGCGAAGGTTGTCAACCATAGAGGAGCTACCCCTCTTGGGAATAAGGACGGTGCGGCCTGACAGCATTGACGGCGGGAGGGTAGCGGAGATGTGCGGGGAGGAGAAGAGTGAGAGAAAAGCAGGGGCAAAGCGGGTCTTGTACTGTCGGAAGAGCTCGCCCGCGATGCCGTCAGGGCCGGGGGTTTTGCCGCGGGTGAGCTGGTTTATAGCCTTGCTAATTTCCAGAAGGGAGAAGGGGGCTTGCAGATGGTTGAGAAGTCGGGGAGGGAGTGAAGAGGGGGGGATGTGAGCCCAGAAGGCGGGATTTGGCACGCCTGGGGTTGCCCCGCTATAGAGGGACTGGAAAAATCTGGTGCATTCACCGGTCATGGCTCGCAGATCTGAGATGGTTTGTCCATCTGGTAGTGTAAGCGATGAGATTAATGAGTCTTTGATGCGTGAATTGAGTCCTGCCAGTAAGGAGGAGGTTCCCATCTCCCGATGGCCCTCGACTTTAAGCTTTGCTTTTAGAGCGAGCTTAGCGGTTTTAGATGCCTCATATCTTGTTAGTTGGGTGCGGGCTTTGAGGAGTTGTGCGGTCGCATCCTGGTCCAAAGGGGAGAGGGCAGATTGGAGTTGGAGGTGGCTGATGAGTTGTACGAGATGGGCGGTAGTGCTGGTAACCCGTTTGCGCTCTTCGTTCGAGAACTGTTTGAGGCTAAGGGTGAGGGCCAGTTTCCAGGAGTCCCATGCTTCGGAGGAAGGGCGTAATGGCAGGGAGGGGAGGTGAGATTCGACTATGGTAGCGACTTGGGGCCGGTGGAGAAGAGAAGAGCTGAAACGCCAAGGTCGCGGTGTCATGGTTGGGTTGTTGAATGTGAGGGTGCAGAGGGGTGCGAAGGAGTGGTCAGAAACGTCAGTTGGGGTCCAAAGGTAGGAGGTTTCGGAGGTCCATGGGAGGAATGAACTAGAAAGGTAGATTCAGTCCAGTCTGGAGGCCGGCGGGAGAGTTGTACCAGCGCTGGCCCGACGGCCAAAGTAGGAGAAAACGGGGGCGGTAGGGTGGAGTGAGCGGTACACGTCGGACAGTGCATGCGATAGCAAGAGATTAGACACCATGTTGGCCTCGCTAAGTTCGTGACCAAGTAGCGAACGGTTACGGTCTAGGGGGGGGACCACCGAGTTGAAGTCACCGGCGAGTATCGTGGCAGCAGCTGCAGTGGGTTGCTCCAGTGCGGGAGTCAGGATGGATCTCCACCAGACTCGGCTGTCAGTAGCAGGTCTTGGCGCATAGATAGCAAGGAGGCGAAGTTGCTCACGCAGGAAGTTGATATTTATGGATAGGAGGCGGCCATCGGCGGAGGGGGACGGGGAGGTGAGAGATACTGCTCTGTTGAAAGATAAGATGGAGATGCCGGCGGGTTGCAGACATGGATGGTCGTTTGAGTTCAGTGCGTATAGGGTGGGTGCGTGTACCGAAGAGTGTGGGCGGAGTTGGAGTGACAGTCTAGGTAAGTTTTTTGAGAGACGTGTATCCACTAAAATGAGAATGTCTGTGTGCGGTGGGGAGGTGGAGAGCCAGCGCTTTAAAGCGTTTCGTTTAACCGGCGTATTGATACCATTTATGTTGAGGCATCGGACTCGTAGGGGCATTAACATTCTACCAAGTGGGAGCCCACCGCGCAGAAGGGTGCGCGGATCCACGGGCGTGGGTGTTTATACGAGGGGGAAGGAGGTTGGTGGTGGCTGTGGGTACCAATAGAGCTGTCAACAAGTATATACTGAAGTTTGTGGTGGCTATGCTTGCGTGCTGGTTTTATTCGGACAGCGCCAAGGTCACACCAGAAGGTTAAGAGATGGTGGGTGGCAGAA